ACCTTTAATCTCAACATTTGGGAGGCAGGGACAGGAAGAGCTCGGTGAGTTTGAGGCTAACCTGGTCTACATAGTAAATTCAGGCTAGCCAGAGGTCATGGTGAGACCTTGTCTAAAAGAAAAAAAAATTAATACCCTTATAATGTGACCTTTGTAAATTGGACATTGGAATGCTATTTCAGTGGACATACCAAGAAGATGAACTAATTTGGTGTCTCCAAGGTTAAATTTTTTTTCTCTTGGTTTTTATACTTAGTTTTTTGGTTCTCCCTTCCCTCCCTGCCTTCCTCCCTCGCACCTTTTACTCTTCCTTTCTTTCTCTGTCTTCTTGTCTTATGAGATGGCTTGGTCCAGGCTTTGGGTATCCTTGACTTGGTGACCCTTCTGTTCCTGCCTCCCCAGTGCTAGAAGTACAAGCACCCCTCCAGGCCTAGACTGCTCCCTGGATTCTTCAAGGCCGGATTCTACCTCATTCACATGTATTATTACTATTATTGTTGCTGCTGCTGCTGCTGTTGTTGTTTGGAAATCTCTCTATGTATGCAGTCCAAGTTGGCTTTGAACATACTGCCCGCCTGGCTCTGCCTTGGCCTTCTGAGTGCTGGCATTGAAGTCCTGGTATGTGTCACCATGCCCAGCTGCATTTACTTTTACAGAGCTGCTTTGAAGTGGGCTTCAGACCCTCTCAGCAAAGAGTGTCTCTGAGGCATAAAGCCTGGGACATTATTCAAATCATCCCAATTGGATTTCTCAAGCCCTGATCTAATCAGCAAGCTGTTTAGCTTAGCTTCTTGGTAAAGTTCATTCATTAATTCAGAAGGCATTTACTGAGCCTTTGCAGAGTCTACCCATGGGCTAGATGTAACAGGATTAGTGGATGACTGGAGCCCTGTCCTTTAGGGGTTTATAGTCTTGCTGAATGGAGGGACGGAAATAACAGAATGCTTTTTAAGATGTAGAATGGCTTTTGTACTTGAAATGTGTTAGCGGTCTTTCACATCAGGTAATTGACATTAACTGTGACTTTATGCTCTGGAAAACACATTAGGAAGTATTTTCTTTTCATATTTATTTCACAGTTAATATCACAGTTCCTTTCAGACATGTTCTTGTGAGAATACTCAATCCCCACAAAGTGATGTTGTGAACTTAATAGAATTGTGGGCATCTCACGCTTTGCAGCCTGTGCTTTTGGGAGGATTCTGAGCAGGAAGGAAGAATGAAAAATTGAACCCAAATTTATTGTTTTGTTGGAGCAAATTGTCACATAAAACTCACCAGTTCCACACACACACCAAGTTCTGCTAGAATTACGCGTCAGCTTCCACTACCATGACGGATGTAAATAGAAAGCTAACGCTGACTTTAACTGAGATCTCAGGCGTAATGAGATTCCTTTACTCTTTGAAGGAAAATAGCCATTCATGTATGAACTGCTAAAGAAAAAAATTATTTTCTGCTATTGAGCAGAGTAGAAATCTGAAATCAGAAATGACTTCCCATGCCTCAATATTTTCTAATTATGATTTTTCTATTCTGTGTTTCATATATCTACTCTTCTAAGATGTACTTCTGGTCATAAACTGGTAGCTACTCTCAATGCCTCTTACTCATCTCCCCTTCTAATTAATGTTTGTGTGATACACACACACACACACACACACACACACAATGTATATATATATATATATATATATCCTTTTCTTCTGTTAATATTACAAGTTCAGCCTTTTGTGTCCATAATGAGGAGTAAAGAAGGAGTAATCAGAAGACCTAGTTGCTTCTGTGCACAGGCTAGAAAAGGTTATGCTTCTTCCGGAGTCCCATGTTGATCTCTCTGGGCACAGCGATGTCTATGCTGTATGGCTGCCTTGCCTCCCGAGTCAGTGGGTTGGGTAGTTGGATGCTGTGTCAGGGCTTGGTTCCTAGCTAGGAAGGTGATAGCAGTCCAGCTGACACAGTCTGTAGGTGCTCAGGAGCTGAACACACTTGCTTAGGTTTCTGCCATTACCTGACGGTGGGATTTTACTTCTCTTCTCCTTCTCTTCCTCTTCTTCCCACATATTTTCCTCTTTTTTCTAACTGCAACTCTCTGAGACATTTTGTGAAACTCTGAAAGTCTTGTTTACTCTCATTCGTCTAAAAATTAAGAGTTCTTCAGCCATCCCAAGGCTTTGTGCTTGGGTATTAGTGGTGTGTGTGTGTGTGTGTGTGTGTGTGTGTGTGTGTGTGTGTGTGTGTGAGAAGCCTAAATCCAAAATTGTCTTTCATTTCCTTCCTTCCTTCTTTCCTTTCTTCCCTCCCTCCCTCCCTTCCCTCCCTTCTCTTCCTTTTTCCTTCTTCTTGCCCCTCCCCCCAGTCCCAAATAATATTTCAAAAAGGGACTTTCCCATTTAGTTACATCTCAAGTCTTGTTAAGTTGTCCAAGCTATCCTCAAACTTGCTATGTAGCCCAGTCAGGCTTTGAAATTATAATCCGTCTGCCTCAGCCTCTTTCTGTGATATGTTTTAAACACTTAGATTTAGGTTGTGGAGATTCTTAAAGACCCAAAGGCAGAACCTGTAGTTTCTGAATCCACAAAAAAAAATGTGTTTTGTGAATGGTGAAAACTGGTTTAGCATTGATGGGGAGGCCATTGAAGAGAGAGAGAGAGAGAGAGAGAGAGAGAGAGAGAGAGAGAGAGAGAGGGAGGGAGGGAGGGAGGGAGGGAGGGGAGAGAGAGAGAGAGGGGAGAGAGAGAGAGAGAGAGAGAGGGAGAGAGAGAGAGAGAGAGAGAGAGAGAGAGAGAGAGAGAGAGAGAGAGAGAGAGAGAGAGAGAAATAACCCTAAGAAACATGCCAGGGAAAGCCCCTCACTGTGAGAGGTAAACCACTGTGAGCTAAGGATTGCCCTAGAAGATTCTCTGTCCTTCAGGCTTTCCTCCTCACCCCTTTGTTTCTTATATCATGTTAGACCATCTTAGCATCTTCAAATGTTGACTTATCTTTTATTTTCCAAGTCAGGGTCTTGCCATGTATCCCAGGGTAACATTGAACTTTCTGTCTTCAGAGCCTCCTGCTCCCGTGCCTTAGGTAAATTTGAATTCCAGGCCCACGTCACCACACCTAGCCACTGTTCCTTTCATAAAAATATCTAGCTGAAGGCTGTGGAATATACTTCAGTTCAAGGAGCCAAAGTTGCTGCCTACTACCTATGGTCCTTCAAGGCTTCCACCCTTATGATGAGTCTGGGGGATTATATAGATCAAATATGGTGCCTGCATCCTGCTAGAACATTGAGGAGTTTCCAACAAGCTCTTTGTAATAACTACCAACTATTGAAGACCTGTTTCTGGAACTTCCTGGGTAGGACTCCAAGAGACACTAAAAGAAACACAGAAAGCCAGATCCCTGCTGGGCTCTCTGATGCACAGTGACCAGTGGTGGCATGTGTCTACGTTGGGTGTGGAGAACTACTGTTCTTGCCTAATCTCACCAATACCATTCCTGGATGGAGGCTTGGTAGGTCAGGGAAGATGCAGAGAGGTCACCTGCCCTTTAGGGTGTAACACGTTTTCCCCCTTCTGCTCCTAGTCCTTCACCTTTCTGCTGTAAGCACTTTTTCCCTCAGAGGCTCTGCAGTGAGGGCGTGCTCACAGTCGCTGTTCCCCTCTTTGCTTCCTTCTGCTTCTCTTGCCGTGGGTCCTCTTGCTTGTGTTGAGGGGTGCTGAAGGAATGTGGGCTCATCCTTGGTAGATGCAAATCAGTCTTTTCATGCTGAGAGCTTTGAGCTCAATGGACAGTGGTCCTCTGCATGGAGGAGGAGGGTGCTCATGGAGGAGGATGCTCATAGAGGGGGGCGCTCATGGAGGAGGAGGAGGATGCTCATGGAGGAGGAGGGTGCTCATGGAGGAGGAGGGTGCTCATGAAGGAGGAGGAGAATGCTCATGGAGAAGGATGCTCATAGAGGGGGGCGCTCATGGAGGAGGAGGATGCTCATAGAGGGGGGCGCTCATCGAGGAGGAGGGTGCTCATGGAGGAGAAGGAGGATGCTCATGGAGGAAGAGGGTGCTCATGGAGGAGGAGGAGGATGCTCATGGAGGAGGAGGATGCTTATGGAGGAGGAGGGTGCTCATGGAGGATAAGGAGGGTGCTCATAGAGGAGGAGGGTGCTCATGGAGGAGAAGGAGGATGCTCATGGAGGAGGAGGATGCTCATGGAGGAGAAGGAGGATGCTCATGGAGGAGGAGGGTGCTCATGGAGGATAAGGAGGGTGCTCATAGAGGAGGAGGGTGCTCATGGAGGAGAAGGAGGATGCTCATAGAGGAGGGTGCTCATGGAGGAGGGTGCTCATGGAGGAGAAGGAGGATGCTCATGGAGGAGAAGGAGGATGCTCATGGAGGAGAAGGAGGATGCTCATAGAGGAGGAGGGTGCTCATGGAGGAGGAGGGTGCTCATAGAGGAGAAGGAGAATGCTCATGGAGGAGGAGGATGCTCATGGAGGAGGGTGCTCATGGAGGAGGATGCTCATGGAGGAGGATGCTCATGGAGGAGGGTGCTCATGGAGGAGGGAGGAAGAGCAGACCCATTTTAATCATAATGAACAGTGCTGTTCTGGGCAGTCTGGTTCCAGGAGAGGACTTTGCTTATATTTCATCTCTGGCAACTTGAATTACTTTCCAAGTATCACAAGTGCCTGCCCCATGTCTATTTCTGTAAATGGAGAGGCCGAACTCTTGCCTTCACCCTGAAAAGAAGTTAAGCTTTCAGCTCTGGCCCTGTAGCCTAAACAAAGCAGCTCCCCCGCGTGTCCTGATTTGGGGAGATTTCTTCCTCTCTGTCCTAGCAGAGGTGTATCATTACAAGTGTAAGGAGTATCAGATGTTGTTAGAGACTCATTCAGGCCACTCAGGAACAGTTTCTGCTCCACAGGAGCTATGAGCTCTGTGCAAGATTCTCATGCTTCATATATGTTCATTTATGTGTGTGCATTGACTTACGTATTTATTTTCTTGCCGCAGGAAAGCCATCTCCCGGACAGGCCTCCAGCACCTGGCTCCTGCTCATCCTCTTGGCCTGCCTATAGCAAACGGTCCAGCGAAGGAGCCCAGAGCGACTCTGGACTGGAGCGTAGGTGTCTGCTGGTTTTTTCATTTTGTTTTGTTTTCGTTTGTTGGTTTCCTCTCAGTTGCCTGCTGGGTCTTTCTCATCTCACCCTCAGGGTTCTGTAAGAAAGAACACATCTACTTCGGTCTTCAGTGGCCGTGTTAATGGATCTCTACCTGGGGGCTGAATTGTCCCCACCTGAAGGCGTGTGCAGGGCTGTTCTTAAGTTCTGTCGTGCTGTCCCAACAATGAACAGAACAGGCTCACCCATGCCCTTTTCCTCTTGGAAGAGAGAGAGTCATGGAAGAAAGGAGGGGAGTGTTTACCTTTTTAACCAACTGAAACATGAAAGTCGTATGTGTTCTGGCCTGCCGTGTGGTGTTTCAACACACGGGCACCATGTGCAGAGTTTAAATCAGGGCAAAGGAGATCTACTCAGACATTGCTCAGTTATTTATGATGCAAACATTCTAACACCCTTTTTCTAGCCTTGTGCAAAACAGTACACTATACTATCACTGTTTATGGTCACTCCACTGTGAAATGGCATCTAACTATGGCTTCCTGTCCCTGAAGAATCTTTCCCCTGACTCTTTCACCAGTGTCTCTCCCTCCCCGCCTCTGGTAACTGCCATCTTGCCGTCAGTGTAAGATAGACTTCGCAATAATTCATATGTGAGCTTGCACAGCCCTCGACTTCCTGTGCCTCGCTTATTTGACTAAACACAAAAGCCTCCAATTCTGTCTATGTTGTAAATGATAGGATTTCCTTTTTCTGTACAGATAAACAATATTCCACTCTGTATATGCACCACATTTTCCCCCCTCTGGCAGATAATATGACATTTTATTGAATTTAAAAAATAACTCCCTTGGCAAAGGTCATGGACTGTAAAAAGTAAGCTCTGCTTTTCATGTTGCCCTAAATGGGCTTTTAATATGAGCTGAGACAAAGACACGCCTGTTTTCAGTGCTTGTGTACATACGGGCAAATCTTATTTCCACACTCTTTCAACTTGGCAGAATTGAAATCCTTCAGAGGGACTTACTGTCGGGGAGTGTGGTAGACACTTCTTCAGTAAGCCAATAGCACGGTCGGTCTCACAAATAGAAAAAGCATTGCCCAGCAGCAAGTGTTACTTGGCCTCGGCTTCCCGTGGGGAGGAATGCGAAACACTCAATTTCATTTTTGCTGCTTTTAAAGCTAAAATGATTGGAACCACAATTAAATATTAGAATCCTTTCTCCTGCCACTGAGTCTTCTGAATGTGTGCTGGGCCCAGGAAAGAAGCCATTGCTAAATCTTCCTGCCTCAGTTTCTACTTCTATATAATATTGTAACGTAGGCAGTCACCCAAGACTTCTAAACATAAGAAACGAAAAGGGTCTCAAACACTCTTCTTTATAGTACTGGGTATTAAACCTGGGCCTCACGTGTGCGAGGCAAGCACTTCACCATTGAAATATATCCAAAACCCTTATTTTTACTGATTTTGAGAGAAAAAAATGTCTCTCCCAGTAGCCCGGGCTAGCTCGGAACATACTCTATAACCTTAGACTCCTGAGCCTCCTAATCCAACCTCCCAAAGAGCTAGATTATAAGCATGTGCCACATAGTTCAGCTTCCTGACTCTTTATTAACTTGCCTTTCCGAAAATGTAACATACCTTAGCAAAATAATAGTCTGTGTTTTACTTCTGATATAAATTCCTCCCTTCTGTAAGTTTTCGGGTGCTCATATGCAAAGAACATTCTTATCCTTCCACTAACCTTCATCTGTTCTCAATGAGGTTCCCCGCTGCATCCAGTAACTCTGTTCACCCTTTACCAGTATGTACAAGCATGTAGACATGTCACATTTATCTGTGGGAAGAGAGGAGCATGTGCACAGGGGTGTGAAGGCCAGAGATTTCCCTTGGGCATCATTCCTCAGGCACTGTCTATCGATTTGGTTTTTTGAAACTAGGCTTCTCATTGGCCTGGAACTTGCCAATTAGACTAGGCTTGTTGGCCAGCTTGGGAGCCCCAGTAATCCACCTTTCTCTCTCTCCCAAGCTCTGGGTTTCCTTGGTTGATGGACACTCAGGGTTGCGTCCATTTCCTGACTGTTGTGAATAGTGTTTCAATGAACATGGCAGCTGTGTCTCCTACTTAAGCAAATCGAAGGATTTTCTTTTCCTTTGGATACAGACCTGGGAGTGAGATTGCTAGGTCAGACAGTGGCTCCGTTCTCCACTTTTTCCAGGAGCATCCGTTGTGTTCTTGTAGCTGTGCTGTTGCCAGCCCCACCCCCACCCCCACCCCACCCCCAACAAAAAAGGATTCCCTTTCACAACATCTCTGCAGTCTGTGTTAACTTCTACATGATAAGAGCCACTCTAGGCAAGGAGGGGCTCACTCTTAGGGAAGGAGGGGCTGTTTCATTGTGGTTTTGATTTGTATCTCCACGATGACTAGTGATGTTTATTTTTTTTTAAAAAAAAATGTATCTGCTGGTCATTTACATGTCTTCTTTTGAGACATGTTGATTTAGATCTACTACCCATTTTGTAAGTTGGGCTATTTGTTGACAATGGAGATTTTCAAGTTTGAAAATGTGTGTGTGTGTGTGTGTGTGTGTGTGTGTGTGTGTGTGTGTGTATGTATATATATTCAATGAATGAATATTCATTCATTCATCAGGTGTGCAGTGTGAAATATTTCCTCCCACTTTATATTTTGGCCTTTAACTCTGTTACCTGCTATCTATGCTGTGTAGGATTGCTTGAGTTTTAAAGAAACCTGTTTGCCCATTTTCCCTTTGTTTCTTGTTTTTTTTGGAGGGAGGGCTCTTTAGAAAGTCTATCCCATCAAAGTATCCCGAATCATGTCTCCTGTATTTCCTTCTAATATTTTATAGTGTCAGCGGCTCTTACACTTAAGCATTTGGTCTGTTCAAGTTAGTGAGAGATAGCTGCCTATCATCATTTCCTGCTGTGGACATCCATCTTTACCTAACATCATTTCTGCTTGTGGAGAGAATCATAACAGTATCGTTATTGAAAAGACCATCATTTGTCCAGCACATGTTCTCATACCCTAATTTAAACCCTGGTGCCCGTAGATGTGTTTTTAAGTGTGTCTGCCACAACTGAATCTCCTACACATTAGAACATTATTTTCTGCCCACCCAGCAAAAGCTACCTTACTTTGCATTCTGGGTGATTTCCTTGGGATCATGGGCGGGGGGGGGGGGGGGGGGTGATGAAGATGTGGTTTACATAGCTAAAATCCATGGATAGGAAGTAATCAACTGTAGGAATACAGCACATCAATGCCTGGGTCAGGAGAGCTCACCGGAGTGGAGGTGGGGAGTGTCACTGGCATATGAGAAAGGACCCTCTAGTCATGGCTGATGTAGGAAATAGGCATCAACAAATGCTTTTAGTGAATTCCCTGCCTAAGCCAGCATTAGGCTAGCAGGCATTATTTTCTGATTCCCATGGAGAGGTGTACACTGTAGCATTCATTCTTGTAGTATTTTTGGCCGGTGGTAAGAGGCTCTGATGTACAATAGGGGCCAAACAAATAGGAGCTGAGGCTGGGTAAATTGTGGTCTTTCCACTCTCTTCCTTCCCTGGGGGTGATCTGCTGAAAGTCTAGTTGGAAAGCAAAGAGGAGGCCACTCCCTCCTGGGAGGCCAGATGTGGCTCGGACAGATCTATCCCTTGGCTGCTACTGGTGTCAGCAGACAGAAGCCAGCAGTGACTAGTACCCAATCACACAAAAAAGTTCAGGAAGGAGGCGGGGGCTAGGCGTGTTTCAGTGTCCTCTGACTTTTTCTGTAAGGGTTTAAATGAATCATACTGGTTTTAAAATGTTGGCTTCTTTCTGCCAAATACCCTGTATGTATGTTAAACTGTCCCTTCCGCTGAAGAGGCCAAATGAGGAATTGGGGACTTCCGTTGTTTTGTGTAAAGCACTGGAAGGGTCTTGAGGCTTGAGCATTTGCCTGTGACAACCTTGCCCTTTGGCTCCCTGTAGAAAAGCAGTCTGATAACATGTGTGCAGCCACCGGACTGCATGCACTAACGATAAGACTTCCTTCCTCGGGAGTATTGTTTAATTGGGGACTGATTAGCATCACAGCTTTGTAAGAGTCTCCCAAATAAGCATGAGAATGCAAGAATTAAGAAAAAAAAAGAAAGGATGAGACGGGAAATGGGTGGTGGAAAGTCAGGGTATAGATCAGTGGTAGGATGTTTGACAGGCATTCAGGAGTCCCTGAGTTGGGTTTCCAGCACCACAAACCAACAATGAACAAACATGCACAGGTACAGGCATAGTCTTGGTTAAGGTCTCTGTGCTGAGGGTCTTGACTCTGGGAACACAATGGGGAGTAGGGTGGTGGGAGCCCCTAGTCCTCAGCCCACTTGACTCTTCAGGAGAAATTCTTTGCTTCTACTTCTTGAGCTCAGGAGACTAGGCACCATTTCAAAGGTGGCGACTACCGCCATACCCTGACTCTGTACCCCGAAGTCACATCAGTTCACCAGGGAGAAACCAGATGCAGAAGCTGTCTGGAGTGCACCTGGCTTGGCAAGGCAGGCCAGGGTCAACTTGGGATTGGAATCTCTGGGCCTGGACTCTTACTTTTTGTAGAAAGGAACCCCCCCCCACCCGGAGTTGGGTGTATGTGTCAAAGTCATCTAGAGAATAGTTATTCCCCTCAGAATACTGGCCGCAGGCTTTGGGAAGGCCCTGCTAGTGAGGGCCCTGTGCTGACTGAGCGAGCACAGATGGCGTGTACAGTTGTGGGAGGTAGCTTTCACGCTTTGTGTACGTGAGCTTCATTTCCTTCTGGATTCCATTTTTCCCCTCCTCATTTCCCTCGGTAATACAAGCTCCAGCCCTCCCCACACACCGCTGGAACTTACTCCTCAAAACTCATCTTCCCGTGTGTCAGTCCCATTCCCTTGATAATCTTTGCCAATATTTCTGCTCTTTTGTCCACAGGCTGTACCCTTCCCCCCATGCACATCACC